ATTAGCAACTTTTTATCATAAACGTACCTCATATGAACTATCATTATTAATATTCAACTGAAGTGATTATTGTATTATATATGGCAAAAATATCGTATTTTCCTCAATGTTGGGCACTTACCTTAATCACATTCTTACGCCAGTACCGAATAAGCAATTAAAGCTATCAAATCAGTTTTGAAATGAGTTTCTGTAAGTATTTTGATATTTGTTTCATAAACGCCCAACTCTAGTTTCAATATTATCTTCCTTAATTTTAGTCGAATTTCACGTCTCATTTTTTTTATTCAACTCATAAGAGTACAGCCCATGATGTATATAGAAATTTTCTCATGAATTGCTCATTAATGAGAATACTTAATAACACTGTGTAAATTCATTACCACAATATGTGTAAAATTACATCAAAATATTTAAGATCATAGAGCCTGCTGTTTTTGAGCTATTGAGATGCAATTTTCACATATGTTGTAGGTAATGACATGACGAATACCTTTTACCTGAAGAGTATGTCAGAAATCTACTTCTGAAAAGAACCAGAGGTTTGTTTCAGGAAACTCCGTGTATTTGAGTGGACCGGCCGTAATTACCCCACGCAAAATAGCTGACAGGCCGGAATTACCCTAGGGTAATTACGGCCGATTTCGAGGTTCCTGTCTCCTTTTGAACACTGGTGGACAACGGAGAGGGACGTTTTCTCTCACGTTATTGTTTTTATACTTTTCTTTTTTACAAACAAAAATATACTCATCCTTGAAATAATACATATTCCTTATATAGAAGAAAAGTAGAAAAAGAAGCAATAATGATAACGTGATACAATGATAACAGAAGAGCGAAGAGAAAGGTNTAAAGCCTGTTTCTCTTGCATTTGGCGGAAAAAATGTAATTAAGACTTTTGTTCAGCGATTATGCAGGAAATTCCACGTTTTTGCATTATTTTTGAGCAAAGCAAGCGCTCTAGCATAATTTTAGGCATGTCAGCCATCTTGAATTTCTATTGGTTAGCGTACGAAACGAATAAAATAAACGTACGTAGACACGAGCGCTCTATGAAATAAATTAGAAAAGACGGAGCTGATTTATTCAGTATATGAAGAGAAAAATATTCTGAATCGAACTGTCGATTCAGATTTTCGAGACCTGCGCGCGGGCGGGGGTCCTGTATCCAATATGTATGTTGTGTGTTATGAAATTCTTCGAAGAATTCCTGCCACAATTTGGAAGGGTCGATGTAAACGCTGCTCTATCGTTTATTATTCTAATTTTTATATACAAAACCGTCGGAAATTCGTCACATATGAAAGTTATATGAACGCTTCGTATCTCTATTTTGGTGGAAGGTACGTTTATGATAAAAAGTTGCTAATTCAACTCACATCGTCGATTTTATGCATGTACTCAGCGTTCGACAATTTCTCAAAAGCGTACAACCGAACGATGGCCATAATCGATCCACTCAGCATAAATATGAACCAACTAATTGGAAACGGTAATTTGTATCTAAAGAGAATTATGGATATTTGGTTTCTTCAACAATATATACAAATTATTTTCTTTTTGAAGAAAGTTGATTTCGTCGAATTACCACCGTTAATGTTAGTATACAGTTCTCAGCAGGAATTTTACTTAATCTTTGCTGTTTTAGGCATCATTCAAAGATGATTAAATGGCTAACAATGACATTTCACGAGCTGAATAGACATTTTACTCGTTTTTGGGTTCATCATCGACACATTGTTTCCTGTATACATCTCTGCTCAACTGCATTTATAACTGATGGCTTTCAAAAGCCGAGCTTTTATATTTGTTCAAACCACAATCGGGGTGCGGTTAGCGAGGAACTCGGCTACATTCAGCTCGGTTGCGCAAATCGTCCAGCTGCAAAACCACGGCAACGAACCAATCCAAAAAACGTCTACGGTGAAAGAAGCCAAGGAGAACCACCAACATGTCAAGAATGCCGTGACATCGGAGTTACGTCCTCAAGAAATGATGGAGAATATATTCAAGATTTTACCTGTAATGTCGATCGTCTGCCTCGTATGCGCAACGGGTCAACAACATCTTACGGAGTTATATTTACTGCGCTAAACTGCGGAATCGTCGTTGATTTTATGCCCATCAATCTTAGTGAACAAGTATTCGTTATTCTTCATCATTGGCTGACAATGCTCAAAAAAATTGATGATATTCGCCGTTTACCATCCATATTTATCTATGATAATGCTTGTGCTGTTTACTTATACTTTAAAAAACGATTCCACGAAACAAAAACGATAAAACACACAAAATACAGTGAATTTATCGACAGTTGTCATTTGTACATAGATAGAATGCATAGCAAAAATCATAAAAGGAACATTTGTAAAACGATAATGAACATTGACAGAAATACAAATATGAACGGTGTTAATTCGGAAGTCTGCGAGCAACTGAACAGTGTGTTAAAACAGTATATCAATTCATTATCTTCATTTGTCGGGGAACGATCACAGATTTTTTATTTATTTCTATTTCAGCTCTTAAATTGTGCACGTTCAAAAATAAGTTGTAGTGAAATTAAATTTGCTGTTTAAAATTTTACGTATTATTTTCAATTTGGATTTTAGTGACATATAGAGAAACATTCTTGAATACGGTTGGGATCGTTCACAGTTTTAAGTTACTTTACTGTTCTTTCGTCCTTTTAAGATGAGTTCGATTATGTCATTTGAATGTGGTGAATGTACTCCCGCACAGATTCAGCGTGCACGACAAAGTTACAATCGTGCACTGACTCTTCGCCAGTTGTCTGTTCAGAAGACCCAGTCGCTCAACTATTGGATTAAACATGATCTGTCTAATGCTGATCAAACCATATGTATGAGCGATGCAGAAAAACAAATCAATGGAGGGACTTCAACTGATTGTCATTGTTATGAGTTCCCAGATGAAGAACTATTAAAGGTCGTCCTGAAATGGGAAAGCGATCAAAGATCACTTATTGATTTTACTGAAACAAGTGCTAATACGAACGTCATACAGACACCATACAATAATGCACTAATTAAAATATCATATCCGCTGATAGATTTAATGTACGATGAGACGCAATTAGCATGTACAGAAGAACTTTTAATGCCCGGAGAATTAATGAACAGTTCAGTTCTCGGTATGAACATGCGATTCTAAAGACAAATAAACATTCATTATGTTTTAGATCCACAATTGAGCTGGAGTGTTAGTAAACGTGAACTATCGAGTTCAATATCGTCAAACACATGCGAGCCCTGCATCAAGAAAATACGACAAGAAAATGTATGTTGTATCAAAACACTTTCTTACAACCTTAAAAACCTATTCCATTTAGGCCACTGATCCATTTGCTCAAATTGTTGATGAAATGACCCGAGCATTAGCAGCACCACTGATCTCAGCCACAAGCAACGCTAACGACAGTTCTAACGATTCTGATTTTGAAAGTTATTAATTTACTCTGTGTGCAAATTTTATACTTTCCTTACTTTTTAAGTGAATATCTTTAAATTATCAGTTAAAAACTCGTTCTGATGTATACTTCTTGGCATTTGACAAGCAACAAACTTGAAGATATTACTAATTCGCTATCTACTTTTAAAGTCTTAAACATGATATCATTTACCAAATACCGCATACGACAAAAAAACTCGACTTGAGGATGGGGATGAAGCACTCATGTGATATAACGAAATTTTTAAATAACACCTGCCATGTGTACATGTTCTAGCCACTAAGTAACAGACATACACCAGCTCATTATACTATCCAGATGCAACAAATGTTTTCTAGGGAGTACAGCATAAAACAACAGAGTTACCCATATTTGTTATATATCAACTTCAAGCTTATTTTAAATGCACGTCAATGGCATAGTGCTTTGCGATAAAGAAAGTAAATACTCTTTTTAGAAGGTAGGATTTTCAAAGGCTCTCTGCAAAATTCGTTCGGAGTTTCAAGACTTAAAACAGCAATGGTTTTGCTGTTTACATAGATAAATAGGCTAAATCCATGCCACGCCACAACCATGTTACATGAAGACTTCGGACGGTTTCGTTTTTTACAGGACAACTGGACACTATTTATCTTTGTAAAACGACAAATACATCTCTATTTCAAATACTGCAACTCCGATCAGATTTTACAAACCCCTTTCACAATCCTACCTTCTAAAAAAATGTTTAATTTCTTTATCACAAAACAGTATGCCACTGATGTCTACTTAAAATCACCTTTTATTCGACATGTAAGTATCTCTGCTAGTTTTCGCAGTACCCGATGAAAAACACTATTCTACTCTTCTACTATTCTGCTCTTCTACTATTCCGCTATTCCACTACTCTACTGTTCTACTATTACAGTCATGTCTATCCTACAACTTCAATCGAAATATAATGCATTAATGCTCATAATGCATTACTAATACGGCATAAAAATGTTCTTCTATTCTACTTAGTAACATACAATTCTAAGTGTCCCATAAAATACTACACAGACTGAAAATTTCCATGTAACAGAAATTCGCCCAGCTCTGGGAATTTTAGTATCCTATCATCCTTGTGGGGTTGCTATAGGATATACAGAGGCAATCAAAGCGGAAGGTATGCGATCAATTACTCGTCATCTTTTACATATGATTATTCATGGTTGTCGTATGCCGGACGCCCTCATGTACGACTGCGCCTGTGCACTAAAACTTCATTGGAATGAATGGCTCGGCACAGATATGCTGAAATTATCAAACTTAACTGAACAACTTCCGACTTACCTTGCTCTTGATAATTTTCATCAACGCACGCACTCTCGATCCATGTGTCAAACAATAATGAAGTCGGATCACCCGTCACACGAACGGCGATTTATCGGCTTGAACAGTCAGGCTGCTGAACAAGCTTTTCAATTTATCTCCCGTGCTAAATATTCTTTACGAAATTTCTCATTTCCTTATTCAATTGTCATGCTCATGTTGATTTTTCATTTGAAAAATTGCCGAATTACTGATATTGATGAACACAGTATTGGTCTAGCATTTTCTCATTTTGGCAATGAAATTAAAAACTATTTTTTAACACCACGTGTATTTGAAAGTTTTGGGGTATTCAACGAAGGCGAAGCGAATGATACCGATGAAGATTATCAATCAGAAGATGATGAATTGATGATGAAAGATTAGTTTTGAATGCATTTTTCATGTCGTCCAGAAATCTTTGAATTTTGAACATTAACAGTCATGTTGTCGAGGACAATTGACTTTGCAGCAAGCTGTTCTTTTCTTCTTTATACATCAGTACTGTTTTGTTTGTGCCTGTTGTAAATACTTTATCAGGGTTATTTCTCTACTTTTACATTCTTTATCGTACTTGTAGTCCCTTTTTTCGTTGTTACGACTTTTTTGTCATGTATCCTTCGACTAGTAGCATTAAATACTAATCACTGAAAAATTATAAATTAATAGCGGGTTTTATAAGATTCACCGTTAATTCCTTAAGTTAATATGTGAACAGAATTGATTGTTATATTAAGAAGAAATCTTCGGTAACAATCAATAACAACATAAGAGATCTGAATTGCGACTAAAGACAAAATAATTTATTGTGGAAGTCCTAATTTAAGTTTTGCAAAAATACTATGCTGCAATACTGAAGGTCACCCATTATCCGTAACCACCACGACGAAAGACAGGACAATAACAAGTTAACCATTTAATTGTCACAATAACCATTTTATTGTCGGATTAATACACAAGTATTTTAACGGCAGGGACAGTTGAGCTAAGGCACATATCTAAAATAAATCAAGAAAGAAAATCAAATTATGAAACAACGAAAACCTCTCAAGCGTCGTTAAGAGACAAAACAACCCGTTCAGTGTCCTTTCGACTTCTAGAAGAAAATGCCAAAAGTGTGTATATCCTTGGAGTTGGATCAGATTTGTTTCTCTCAACGACAAAAACTAATGTATTTTTGATCTAAGCTGTTTATTAGTGATGTAACAGAAAAAACAGAAAAAAATAGAAGAGAATAGTAGTAAACGAAATGAGACACCATTTGAGACATAAAGTACTAGCGGATCTTTATGATCCAC